TGCTACTTCAAGAAATTAAGAGGGCCTCCGCCCATCCCACCCCTTTTCGACATATATACTTCTAATACAGCCATAACAGTCTCAAGCCTGTATAAAACACAGAAGTGGGAACATTTTTAGTATTGTAGATTGCAGTAGACCATCAAGTCAAGTGAAACAGTTGTCAGACTGGTCCATGGTAGGCCGTCAAGCAGAACAGAAACATCGCAGTAGACCTTTCAGTGGACTTGCACAAACAGAATAATATGTTTTCAATAGTCTGAGGCCTGAGGCAAGGGTTGTTGACCAAAAACTTTTTGTCGACAATATGTACAAAAAAGCACAAAAACCAGAGCCAGATAAATAAATTCAGACAGATGTCTAAGTTAGAGGCAGAAAAATAGTAAGAAGAGGAAGTAGTTGGGCAGTTGGGAATTACAGATGAGAGTAGAATTGTCAATCAGAGGAGAGGGTTTAGCAGTTTAGGGGGCAGGCTCTTCATCTTCATACTTCATCTTTTAACATATCAATTCATTGTAATTATACCACTACTTAACTTACATTATATGGAGAGAGGGTGCCACTCAGCGTGCGTTGAAGTTCACGAATCAAATCCAAGGCTTTTTCTGCCAACATGCTGCTGTATTGTTCTCTTGTGAAGTTCTCTACTGAGCCGGCACCGGAGACTTCTCACTCTAGTACTAGCTAGAGTTAAATGGAAAAGAGCTTTCCCGATAAAAGCACAATCAGTCTTGTTCATGTGTGCCCTAACCTGCAATGCAGAAAAGCATAATTAATGGCCATTGAAACTGGTGTGTCTGATTTTTAAGTATCACCATACAGGGGCATCAGGCGCATGTCAATTTTTGGGCATGGAGTTATGGATATCATATTTTTTAACTGTTGTTCATTTGTCTTGCTTTGGAAGAAAAATACTCATCTTTCTTGAAAAGTCGATATATTTGAGATCGAAAGAGGTGGGGGTCGGCTGCTGTCAAAGGCAAAATTAGCAAAATAATAACCGTTTAAGTTTGGTGACTTTACTTTCAAAGCTTAAAAGGACAATGTCAGAAACAATTGTTAGATCTAATCTAGATTCTAGATCTAGATCTAGTCTCTAGATCTACCCATGTTGATCGGAATTTAAGACGTCATAAAAAAAGGAGTCAAATCCTAGGAGGTTTATCAAAAAACTGAGAAAGCTTCCACAATTCAGGCAGAACTACAATATTATCATGTAGAAACGATGGCTACTACTAGCTACATCTAATCTAGATTTCTAGATGAAAGTGGCTATTCTCACCCGCCCGGAAGTTCTCGCAAGATCATCTCCTCCCCTCTTCTCTCTCTCTCTGTCTCTTTCTGAATACTGTCTATCGGTGTGGACGATCAAATTGACCAAAACAAAGTTAAAAAATGATGTTAAAACACAAAAGTAAATTAATTTGGTTGTCTACAAAGATGCTACGGCTATTTAACTTTTCGAATCGAGCCGAACTACGCGGGTCGCCATTTTGTTTTGCCCGGAAATTCTCGCGCTACTCCTCTCTCTCTTTCTCTCTCTCTCTCCACTGCCCACAGACAAAATTGTACACTTTTAGTAGGCTACAGGGTAAATTTTTACTTTCACTCCCGCACACAGATGCACTGTTTCAGGGGTCAAACTGCTGTACTGTTTGCTGCAGATCACACATAAAGCCACTAAAACTGTCGCAAATCAATTATTTTCAAGACAATTTCAAATCTCTGTAAAATATCAAATTATGGGTGTAAAAACAGGGGGGCATGCCCCCCTGTAACCTCCCAGATTTTCTTTTACCCCAGTGGGGCAGGCCCCCCCTGGAACCCCCCGATTGGTCCAAAGCATGTCTATCTCAGTTAAAAACAATCAAATATTTCAAAAACCATTAATTTGCGACGGAAATGAAGTTGATATTCGTGTTCAGCGCATCAATATTTAGTAGAAAATAGACAACTGGTAGCTGAGTGTGAGACGGGAGGGAAAGTAAAAAAATACCGTCTACAGTTGTAATGGAACGTTTGTTCACGGCACAGAATTCTACAATTTTTCTGTTATCACAGTGTACAATTCTGTGGTTTAGGGTGAACGCAAAATTTGGTGAACGCGCACCGGGTGAGAATAGCCACAAGACTCGCCTGCACTATTCTCACTCCAACTCCAAGTGAGAATAGAGGTGGCCTTTTTTTTTGGCCGGCACTATTTCTCCGAACGTTCGGGAAAATAAAGCTGGGCACTATTTCTCCGAACGTTCAGGAAA